CTCCGTAATGTGATGCCGATTAATAAAGTGTATGAATACAGTTATTGGCGAAAATAGCCAAAGCGCCATTAAAACAAAACAACAGCGCTGGCACATGCATAATACAGTACATTTTATCGCGTAATAACTCCTGTGATGCAGGTCATTGATCCATATTTATCACATACAGATTCAACTGGAATTTCCCGATCCCGGGCGCTGATTGGTTCCTCCGGAAATCTGTAGAAAAATTAAAGAAAAACTTAAACAGTTTGTAGGAGATTCCCAAGACGGTAGAACGAGCCGTCGATTGGTGAAATGAAGTCACGAGAGGGCGCAATGGAAATCGGCGCGTGCGGCATTATTTTATGCTTGATCGAGACCGCTATCGAGTTCTGCCTTCTTGGCCCGTACTAAACATGGGTGCACGATTGGCGGACAAAATTTGCTTATCAATGGCGTGGTAACAAGTCTACATAACTGCTGATAATGATTGCATACTGCATAGACGCTCATGCATTTCAAGGTCCATTGATCTAGCCTGCGATCATTGCACATTGGACTGAACTTCGGTATATTCTGCATCCATTTTGGAGTGTGAATCTATTCGAAGGTAGTTCTCAACATGATATCGGTCATGTTCAGTAGTGCACGTCAAGCAGGCCTTGCCTTTCGCGTTAGCTGGTCAGCAACAGGCGTATTCCAATGTTGTGCCGCATCCCTGCCAAGGTGTGCACCTGCCTTGGAAACTGACAATGGCCGAAGGCGCCTGGCCGGCATTAACAGTCGGTGTTGGTCAACGTCCAGTACAAATGAGGCTATGCCCAGTTTGATGACATTTTCCAATGGAGAAAAGGTAAATGTAATCATTATCGTAATAGGGAAGAAGTGAATCAATATGCAGACGGGCAGTACTGAGTAGGGATTGGAGAGTTCTGCGCCACCTGCCTTTTCCTCTTCACTCACCTTGACCTTTTGACCCCGGCGCACTTTTTTGTCAACAACTCGCGACGTGCGCCGGCCAGCATCGACCGCACAAACAACCTACCACGTGACTCTCAAACAAAAAAAGGGACTTCCCCTCGCTTTTCCGGTCACTACAAGTGTCGACTTGCCCGGCCTGAACTCATGACTTTTCACAATTTACAACCGAAAAAAAAAACATGTCAAGTCAAGTCTATAGAAAAATTAGAAAGATTTTAGAAATCTATATATAAATAGAGACATGAGCAACCCAAAACACAGACCTCTACTATCGACCTTTAATCGATTTAAGAAGGCGTTTTTAGAAGATTTTGTCAAGCAGTATAACATCCCATTACCGGCACCCAAGTGTAAATTTCACACCAAACCCGAGCTCATTGAAGCCATACGAGTAGACCAGAAACAATTCAGGTACCTCCCGCGCCAATCATATCGGCAGCTGTTGAAAACGGTTCAAAAACACGATATTCCTTTTGCACACAAAGATAGATATGTTAAACAAGACTTTATTGAAGCGATTAAAGCTTACACTTAGCCCGAGGAAATTGCAGAAGTCGACATTAAAAACGTGAGGCGCTTTAAGGGTAACTACCGCAATTGGGAATTGATACCCCGTTTCTTTGAATACGACCTCGTGCACTTTTTTGATTTTTACAAAACTTTCATCGAGAAGAAAGCGTTGGAGGAGTTAAAGGAAGTGGGTTCGTACAAATTGCAAACGGCTCTAAAAGTGCAGTTTAGATTGAAAAAACCCGAAAAAAACTGAACTTGGCACATTCACCTTTCCGAGCGAAAATAAATAAGTTGCAAATGAAGCCGACGTGAAAAATGCAATCGCTGAACAGAGGCAAAAATAGATAGAGGTTATGCAGGCTCATACACAACGAGGATCGGGATGGATCTTTGATAAAGTTGTCGCTTTTTACATCAGCGTGGTTAAATACAACCCGGTGGGTGCGACTTACATTCCGTTACCTGCGTAATTGGGGCACATAAAAGTAATAATGAACGTCCAAAATAACGACCAGCAGTGCATCAGATGGGCACTGAGAGCGGCTTTAAAGTTATATTCAGACTACGTCAAAAGTCAAATTGAAGTTAATCCAAAATGTTACATATCCAACAAGCGCACCTCGACTTACACAGAAACCGACGGTCTAAATTTTACGAACATAAGCTTTCCAACACCCATATCTCAGATCCCACGTATCGAATCGCAAAACAACTTAGCAATCAACGTGTTTGGTTACGAAAAAAAGACGGTCTTTACATTCTTTACAACAGTAAGCGCTTAGGTGAACCGATCAATTTACTTTATTTTACCCAAGTGAAAAGAGTCACTACTGCTGGATTAAAAACTTTTCTCGGTTGACGGGCGATATCGATCAACACAACGGCCAAAAACACCGGTGCTTTAACTGCATGTCGCATTTTCAAACAGAAGAAAAGTTAAGAGGGCACAAAGAAGATTGCCAAGGGTTAGATGTGGCCCCCTGTAAAGTCGAATTACCCGCCAAAGGCGAAAATATTCTCAAGTTTGAAAATTATAAAAATAAGCAAGCCGTACCTTTTGTCATTTACGCTGATTTTGAGTCGGTTTTAGAAAAATTACCACCAACAGATACAAACACGGTCAAAACACAAATCCATAAGCCTTGCGGCTACTCATACACGGTCGTGAGATGCCACGGGATTTGCACTTTACGCGAGATTTATAGAGGTAAAGACGCGGCGGTTAAATTTGTGCAGTCGCTTTCTGAGGAAGCAGACAAGATCAACGAAACATTTCAAAACAAAGAGCCGTTGATCTGGTCACCCAAGTTACAAAAAATCTACGAAATTGTAAACGCTGCTGGATCTGTGAAAAGCTTATCGGCAAGACAAAGGAATCTCAGTGTCAGTGTCCAATTCCAAATGAGCCGAAAGCAAAGGACGAAAAAGCTGAACACAGTTCTGTAAACGAAGCTGGGTTTAGAGAATTGCTATGTATGACGTGTACAAAGCCCATCAACAAATTTAGAAAGGTCAGAGATCACTGCCATGTCACAGGGAAGTACCGAGGCCCCGCGCATGCCAGTTGTAATCTCAAGTTAAAAGTCGTCCCGAATCAAACGCCCATTCCGGTTATTTTACATAATCTCGAGAAATATGACGCGCACTTAATCATGCAAGGCGCTCACGAGTTTAACGGGGAAGAAATAAAATTAATTGCTAAAAATACTGAGAACTACATTTCGTTTTCATTTGGCCAACTCAGGTTCTTAGACTCCTTTCATTTCATGGCGGCTTCGCTAGATCGGTTGGTTAAAAACTGTTCACCCGATGATTTTAACTTACTTCGCGAAAGGTTTCCAGAAAATACAAATTTATTGTTGGAAAAGGGAATTTACCCTTACAAATATATCGATTCCTTTGATTGGTTCCAAGACACGAGTTTACCACCAGTAAACGCGTTTTATAGCACTTTGAGACAGTCCACCGTGACTGAGCAAGAATACGCTAGCGCAGAAACAGTATGGCACACTTTTGGTTGTAAAACCTAGGCGACTACCACGACCTATACGTGGAAACAGACGTGTTATTGCTAGCGGCTGTTCCGTAAAGTCTGTACACAGAACTACGGCCTTGACCCGGCCAACTATTACACGTCACCGGGTCTGTCGTGGCATGCATTGTTAAAGCATTCAGGTACACAATTGGAACTACTGACAGACATAGCTAGACAAGCACTTGTTTTTTGAAAGGGCAAAAAGAGGTGGGATCTCTAGTGTGGGTGCAAAGCGATATGCAAAGGCGAACAACCCAGGCCTGCCTGACTACGACCCAAATCAACCGGAGTCATACATCATGTACCTGGACGCAAATAATTTATACGGCTGGGCCATGAGTCAGTCGTTACCCGTGGGTGAGTTTCAGTGGCTAAAAAGCTTAGACAAATTTACTCCCGAGTTTATTTCCAAGTTAAGAGCCGAAGACACGCGCGGTTACATGTTTGAAGTAACTTTAGACTACCCGCAACACCTACACGACAAACACAACGGTTTCCCGCTGGCACCTGAAAATTTAGTAGTGCCTAATGAATGGTTTTCAAGCTACCAACAAAATTTAATTAGCAACGGAGAAAAAATAACCTCGGTAGACAAACTCGTGGTCACATTAAGCACTAAACAAAAATACGTGGTTCACTACAGAACTTTACAGAAATATTTAGAACTAGTATTAGAATTAAAAGAGGCACACCGCGTCATGTCGTTTAAACAATTGCCTTGGATGAAAAGCTATATCGACAAAAACACCGAATTGCGCAAATTGGCCAAATCCGATTTTGAGAAGGATTTCTTCAGATTGATGAATAATGCTGTTTTTGGCAAGACTATGGAGAATGTTAGATATCGTATGGACGGTCATTTATTGAGGGACTTACAGGACGCAGATAAGTACAAAAAATTAACTTTTACACCGAATTACAAATCAACCGTGCCGTTCAAAGAGTACGATCTTTCATTTAAGGAAATGTATCGCGTAAAGACCAAGCTAAATAAGCCGATCTGTTGCGGAGTAAGCGTGCTCGACCTATCCAAAACTTTAATGTACGATTTCTATTACAACGAACTAAAATCAAATTTTGGTTCAAATGTCTGTCTCTTGTACACGGACACTGATTCTCTGTTAGTTCAGATTCAAACCGACGATTTAAACGGCTATTTGAGTAAAAAGCTTAAATTGTTTGACTTTAGCAATTACCCGCCCGATCATCAACTTTACAGCATCAAAAATAAAAAAGTCATTGGGAAAATGAAAGACGAATTTGTATTCGATCTTAACTACTGATCAAAATTTAAAGAAGGTGAAAGGCGTGACAAAAGTAGTAACTCAAAGAAACATATCGCAAGATATGTATAAAAGTTGCTTATTTGAACAGAAGCAGCATTTCAATAAACAGCAGCTATTTAAATCCGATAAACATCAGGTATTCACTGTGTCGAAAAATAAGTTGAGCTTCTCACCGTTAGACACAAAGCGCTATATATTATCAAACGGGGTTGATACGTTGGCTTACGGGCACCATAAATCGAGGTCAGTTTTTTGCGCAGTTAAGACTCGGGCGGTAATTCGGTATCTTCGGGTACGACTTGCAGTTCCTCTTTGACGAAACTCCTATTTGGCCCGTTTAATAAATAATATAAAGTGGGACCTGTCTTTACCCTTTTACCCCGGACTCGTTTAAATTGACTGGTGCGCTTCTCCGCTTGATAAACGTCTACTGACCAGACAGGATCTGTCGCCCTTCTGATGGTGCCGCCCTCTTGCTCGCCCGGGTAATATAAATACCGAACGACCACGCTTGGAGGTAATTCACGCGACGCGCTTTTAACAGATGCACTAGGTATTTGTTTCCCTTAATTGGTCTAATTTGACGGTCTCGGCAGGAACGGCATCAATTAAACGCGTTTTTCCTCGTTTAACGATTTCACGACCTGGGGCAAACGTTCTACCCATTCTACGTTTCGCTCACCCACGTTTAACATTTCTTGCGCGTATTGATGACCAAATAAACGCTCGGCCAATGTACGGTTAAACCTTTCCACGATCCCCTGCGATCTATGTACACCCAGCTCGCCCACTTGAATTTCTACTTTATTTTTTGTCATTAACTTTATAAACTCGCCTTTAAATTCAGATCCCGAGTCTACCATTATAATTTTGGGCCAGTCCAGAGTTGATCGCTCGTAAATTTTCTTCACTGCTTCAGACGTTTACTGATCAACGGTTCTGCTTCTTTATACCGGGAACCCACGTTAAAGTTAATGTCTAGTATTAATGTTTTCCTTTGTTTGGCCGAGTTGTGTGTCTGTACAATGTCACTTCAATGGTTTTTTTTTGCATGGCTGCTTTATTAATTTGGTTTTGCTTGGCATGGCCTTTTCTAATCTCGCTAGTGCAAGCCTGTTGTTTTGTTAATTGAAATAATGTAAATAATTCTATGTATTGGCCAATTCTTATGCCAATTTTATGTGTTTGAGTTTGAGTGCTCAGATCAGTGTAACAATGATGTTTTCTTCCTGGTTTTGCTCATGAATCTATGAAATAGTGACAGAAGCACAAAATAATGAGGCTGAGACAGAAAAGTGCGGCATATGCATGGTTTGTATTGTAAAAAGAAATCATTGGTGTACTGCAAATGAATGAAGTAAGCGCGTGAGTTGGTTCACACGCTGGTTGTGGCACTAATGTCTTACATACAGATTCGTTTCTCGGCCGGGACCTGATTCCGTGGGTTTTTCGCTGAGAATTTATTTGCACCTTTCCGCCCATCTGTAACATTTCTTCATTGTCTTCTTCCCTTAGGGTCTCTGGAGGGAGAACAGCAACTGATAAGGTTTAACCCTAGTTGAATTAAGAAAAATAAAGCAATAATAAGGAACTTCGTTACCGAAAATGATTTGTACAATTATTTATCACCTGTAATGATTAAATCCTCCACCAGATGAAACCAACATTCTCCAAGGCAGAAATGGAGGGGAGACTGAGCAAGCTCCGTAACTATATGGACAAGAACTCGATAGGTGGCGCCCTATTCACCTCGTATCACTGCATCAACTACTACTCAGATTTCCTCTATCTTTCCTTTGGCCGACCGTATGGCCTCGTTGTCACCCCTGAAAAAGTGGCTATCATATCAGCTCTAATTGACTACGGACAGCCGGACAGGTAGTGCTTTGGCAGATTTCCAAAAGTCTCGACCACAGTAGTCTGTACACGTGCGCTTACGAGAGGTCACTTGCTTGTGGCTACAGATCATTTCATGTTGATGAACCGTAAGCCCGCAGTCAAGACAGCCAGGCGCTGCTTCCACCACTGACATCCAACCGTATGATATTTGAAGTTTTTGAAATAACTTTTGCTGTCAAGTTTTGATCCAGCTTCATTAAAGCATCACCACTTCTGTTATGTTGGGGTAACTGCAGTATCTTGCAGTAGTACAGAGTGTATGTTTGGTGTCTTCTCATAATGTAACTGTTACTAATTTGAGGTATGCAGGATTAAGATGAAAATTGTCTCTCTTTGGTTCTAAATAGGCAATTTAAGCTCCTTACAAAAAGACAAGGCGCATTTCTGTTACCAATACACTTCAGGAGGCCGAACGTCAGGATTCAGTGAGATAAAAAGAAATTCAGCCTTTCTTGTCGAATTGGTTTTCTTGTAGGAGGAATCACGTGGGAGAAACAGTTGTCTTTACAGATTGGCAAAGAGACAACTTTTGGAAGGCCGTTAAGCAAGAGATGGAGCACGTCAAAGGAAAGGTGACAAAGACAAACGGCAATTTTCGGTTACAGTAACTGTTTGGGTAAAAAGGGTTTCTTTATTATAGTGACGGAAGTGCATGAAATTTCCAAGGAAAGTCACTCCGAGATTTAAATTGCTTTGCTGCTTTCATTTTTCTTCTCTGTCAGGTTGGATGTGAGTTAGATCACATTCCCGTTGACAGCTACAAGAAGTTACAAGTCGCTGTTCCTGGCGCCCAGTTAGTGGATATTGCAGAGCCTAGCATGTATATGCGCATGATCAAATCACCCGAAGAGATTGCGCTCATCAGAGAGGGCGCTCGCGTAGCAGATCTTGGCGGCGAGGCTGCGCGCGCAGCTATGGCCGACGGGGTCCCTGAGCACGAGGTAGCACTGGCGTCAACAGAGGCTATGGTGAGAGAGATTGCAAAGACCTTTCCACATCATGAGATACGAGACAGTAAGTTATAATCATAATGTAATCTATTCACACGACGTCAACCACGTAATGTTGATCGTGCGACACGTGCTTAACGCTTCGTTGATATGCTCATAGCTACCATGAAAATAAACATGTTTCGTAAAGTTAGTAAAAATAAATGATCATCGCGACTTATGCATTCAACATCATAACTGACAGATAACCTTTTGCTACAGACGAGTGTAAAAGTGTTTTGAATAGTGTTAAGCGTGACAGTTGATGCTACACTCAGTATGTTAGATTTAGTATAGTAATGAGATGGGGATAAATAAACAGGCTTCCCAACTTGGAGACCCAAGGAGGTAAAAACAAGACACATTTGAACATTATCAGGGTTTTGTTAAGACGTGTTTTCCCATTCCACCAGCTTGGTCTTGGATTCAAGGAGGTGTGAACACCGATGGAGCTCATAATTCCGTCACCACAAGACCATTCAAAAGCGGAGATATCGTCAGTCTGAATTGCTTCCCAATGATTGCAGGGTGAGCCACGCAAGGGATCTTGTTAATCCATTTCTGCCTGAATCTGTATTCCGACATAACATTTTTGTTTTGCGTTTATTAATTTTTGCAGGTAAAAAATTACTTTAGAAATTCTACAAAGGAACATTTGCAAATGTCATAAGAGCTGTCATGCCAAAAAAATCAAAAAGTAAACTAAACAACACAGTATGCAAAAGCACAAAAAATGTAGAAATTAATAGTAAATTTTCTGGTACAACATTCGACACGTTACTTGGCAAAGGACATTGTTCGTTGTTTACAACAGAACACACACAGAAAGTAACCATTTTTCCACCGGCTTTGCGTTTTTAAATTTCCACCATCGTTCGCCAAATTGAGCAAATTACTGACAAAAACAAACCATTTACAGGTACATGCATTTACATCTTGTAACAAAGTGTTTGTTAAAAACGCGCCAAGTCATTCCATTGATGAGTAGAGTTGTCATCACTCGACGTTCAGGATCTGCCCAACAACAACTACTTTTTTTCTGCGCTCAGTTACTACACGGCCCTTGAACGAACCCTGTTTATTGACCATGCCACCGATGAGAACATTCGTTTATGGGAGGTTAACTGTGAGGTACATCGCCGGGGAATGGAACTCATCAAACCAGGGGTCAAATGTAAAGACATCGCGCGAGAGTTGAATGAAATTTTCAAGAAGCACGACCTGCTGAAGTATCGTACCTTTGGTTATGGCCATTCGTTTGGAACCCTGTGTCATTACTATGGCAGGGAAGCAGGTAAACTTAAAGTTAAGAGGAACCAACTCACAATGACAAAAGGTTTAAATATAACCTTAGATGGCTGTAAGAGATAAAACTGACCAACCCACACTCAGATGACCTTGAAAAATTGTCGTTTCGGGGGAGGGGTGGAGCTGAAGCAACCGGTTGTGTAATTCGGTGCATCGACATAAAATCTTATGTAAGCTCGGGATGTATTTTTCGCTACTTGAAGCAAGTTTTCTGACTGATCTTTCTTTGGTAGCTTTGGAGTTTCGAGAAGACATAGAGACCGTTCTAGAACCAAACATGGTGGTTTCTATGGAACCGATGATCACTATACCAGAGGGCCAGCCAGGTGCAGGTGGATACCGTGAACACAACATCTTGGTGCTGACAGAGTCAGGGGGAGAAAACATCAGCCACTTCCCGTTTGGTCCTGAACACAACATCGTCAAGAACTAAATGGAAGATCGTCGTCGCATTGCAACCAATGAGCCAGTTCGGTGTTCCAACAGCGAAAATTGTATTCTTACATTTTCTCTTTATTTTTGGCTTGTTTTCGGGAGTGGGTCGAGGGCTCAGCCATCATCCCATGAGAAAAAGGAATGTTGACCAGAAATGCACAGCATACAGCATCACCTTACCCTCCTGAAGCACCACCATTGTTCAGCCGCGCATTTTGTGCACAAACAATGCGCGATGTGCTATCCAGTCTATCCGGTTCGTAAGTGATTTCGTCACAAAGGCAGACGCGCCACGATTTGCAGGCTCCCATTGGACGATCGCGTTAACTTCCGGTTCCATGGTTCCACGTAAACGGCAATCAGTGCATGTAACTCTATGTGCAGTGCATGTGTGCAGTGGGCGTGGTTTAAACTGAAGTGACGTCACACTTACGAACCGGATATAATGGAGATCAATATATCGACAAGAATATAAGATTAAATTCAATCTTATATTCTTGTCGATATTCTGATCACGGTGCTGCGCAGCCCTTCCATATTCCCTCTTTTGTCCCTGCTCGGAGCGGACAACGAACTGGCTGATTCATGCAATTTCGATTAATGACGCAAAGCTCAGAAATTAAATCTTTTTACCGATGTTTTCCTTCAAACGTTTGTAGCCTAGCAACTCAAAGGGTGCGTTCGAGCGAGCTACTCGTGTTAGGACGAATATACCACCTGAGCGCTCGAACGGCTGAAGTACGACCCGAGGGTCAATGAGAGTATACTCTCGCTAGAGGGGGGTATACTCCTTAACTGAGTGTAATGCGCACGCATCTTACTAGTGTTAACAGGAGTAACCGCGCGAACACACCTAAAACGTTCGATTTGAGGGAATATTCTTCTTTGGAATTTAGTACATGCAACGAGAGGTGTTAGTATTTAGTACTAAAATGATAATGTGCTTGGTTCTTGGCCTGTCTTTAACGTGCGTTTATAAGACCGGTTCCTTCTGGAGAATGGACACAACTTTCGTCTCAGGTATTATCAGCATTCATTATCAAATCTCGGTGGGCATTATCAAAATGTTCAAACACGGCCACGTTGCGTGTTGTTGAATAGGGACACTGAGGTATTTATGAATAGTCATAAAAATCATCGAGTGAACCGATTTGAAAAATCACACATACGACGAGACTGGTTCTTTGATATGGCAAACAACTTAGAAATGCGTTTCTCTAGTAAGTGAGGATTACTGCAAAATTATATTCTCTCAAAGAAAGGTTTGAATTTCTCGTCCAAAAAGCCTTGGTTGTTTAACAGACGATGAAAATTCTGTTTCAACGGTCACAAGAAAACTGCCGTTTCACATTTTTGTGAAAGGTTCAAGTAAGGAAGGCAAAGAGTATTTGGACCTCCAACTGTAATATTCTCATCGATTAATTTACATATGTGATTTAAATTTGTAAATTTAAAAAAATCATGATTCATTAATTTATATAGAAAGTGCTGTCAGTGTGTTTATTTAGAAAAAGCTTGCTGCTGCTTTTAAAATAACATTGATGAGAAAGTTGCTTGCTAGTTGACGTTCTATAAATCAGATTTTCAGAAAGGTTTTTTATCGATGTTAAATGGTAATAATCTTATTTAATGAATTCATTTTAAGTATTTCCAACGCATTTGAAGAATAAGCATGCTAAAGTTTAACGGTACTTTAAAAAATGTTTTGGTAATATAATATAATTAACTGAGCACCCAAACAAACGGCGTCAGATGTAAACTTATATATTTGGGGGTGTCATTTCAAATAAACAATATGTATTGTACACTTTGCGAGATGTGTACACATGTTGGAGAGATGCTTTTGGACTGGGGAGGCGTGGCCCGCCCTTAACCCTAGCAAATAAATCAGTACTTTGGTTGGCCTTTAAAAGCATTATTTTGTTCCATTGAACAACAGGCCAATATTAGGATAACGCTAGGCCGCTTACATCTGCTTCCATTTTGTACCGAATTGCAATTTTGAGCCGTCCGATGCTACCGCATCGGAAATAACAGCTCAGTTGACTAGTGATCCAGATTGGCTTACAGGTATTAGTTACCACAATAAAGTGTTGATTAAATTAGACAGATATGCAGAAATCGCGGCTGAAATTTTAGTTGATACTTTGATTCATTCTCGAAAGATACATATCAGCATAAACCACATTGGAAAAAGTACCTAGGACGCTAAATTAGGTGCACTAGGACTAAGCACAATGCAAGTGGATTGAGTGCACTACAGGCATCAGGCACGCCCACTCCATTGTCAGCCACGTCCACCGTTGCTAAGCAATTTTACAAACATTTCCGATGATGTCGCTTCGTTATTTTTTTTAAAAATTAGTTCATGTTCAACTGGTAAAATTACATGTTCAAGTAATTTAATTAAATCTAACTGATGAGTGTACCGCCAAAACCTGATGTTCAAATCACGGTAGCAGACACAATGTGCGGCTCGAGAGAGACTATCGGCTACCGATTCAGGCGCGGGAGGCTGACTTGTGGCTATACCATTTACTATAGTGGGTTGGCACACGTCATTCGTAAAAAAAAATAATAATAAATATCATAAAGATAAACTTTTATTATTTTTTACAATAATATAACATTAGTTACATGGTTAGTAGGATATGAATTTTCAAAACGACACAGACAAAAATTGATTTTACTCTATTAAAGCTCAGTCTGGTCACTGGTATAAAATGAACGAACCCACGGTGCTCTTTTTTTTTGGCCTGGGCGAGGTCTGCATTCTATCAGCATGATATCAGTCCAGTACAATGTGTGGGTGCAAACACCGTATGCGCCTACGCCGTGGAAGAGCCGCCATTACTGAGTGGAATTTTGCACTGGTAACGAAAACCTGAAACTCATTTCAACTCGTGTTCGGGAAATACACCCCGGAATGGCAGAAGACAGTAATTACGACGAGCAGGGCATTAATGAGGTGGCCGAAGAGGACATGGAGGCGCCCACCTCGCCGGATATGAACGATGAAAACGCGACTTCGGGGCTGTCCGAGACGGACCAGGCGGACGCAGGAGCTGGCGGGGACGATTCGGCAGAGCCTGCCGAGCCTGAAGAAGCGCCACCCACGGAGGAAGTTAAAGTAGTTAAAGTCTTAAAACCCGAAGACCAGATCAGATTATATGTGTGGGTAAGCAGCCAGTTTTCTCTTTTTGGCCTGCGAGGTATGGGCTTGCATAATTTCAATTTCTTTGATGGCATTCAATGGCATAACTCTAGGCTGTTTTGTTGTCCAATTTCCGGACAGATGCAGAGGGCCCTTAAAAATACATGTAAATTTCGCAATTTATTATCACCTGACCTTCCCCCCCCAAATTATTTTCTTAAATTTCAGACCACACAGAGCTCGGAGAGGAAAGATTTGGCTCTTTTACTTGTGCCCCTCGCTCCGGAAGCCTTGTTTTCGGGGTTCATTTAAATTTCCTCAACACCCTGTTCCAATGGGGTTCATTACCTTTAGCACCCTGTTCCTATTATAAGGGAGCAAATTCTACTTTTCCGAAATAACTTATCTAAACAAGTTGTTCATGATGTCGTCTTTCTTATCAGAAAGAAAACAGAACAGGGCTTTTGGTTTTTGAGAGAAATCTTTGGGTAAAATCAGCAGCGGACATGACCACCCCAAAGAGAGCTGTGAACGACAAATAAGCGAATGTCGTCTGGTTCCTTGACCTGGATGGAGAATTGTTTCAATGAATCCAAAAAATCTGAGTCTGGTAACCATGTAGCGGGCTGATCGCTACAGGTTGTTTTAGGAACCCGGAGACAGACAGTCCTCACAATATTCCACTTATTACCAGTTATGTCAGTTGTGATATTGGACTTATTTGACGCCTGGTTGGTGTGGTGAATGGTTGGGGTTGGTGGGAAATATTTTTTAAAAAGAAGAGAAGGGGTCTTTAGAAGCCGAAACATGTTTGTTCCACTTCCATCTCTCTCTTTGCCTTTTCCACCCTCGCCTATTACCTAATTCTACCATCATCACCAGCTTTTGGACTTGCCTCAACGTCTGTGCATCTTGATTTACTGCTCCAGAAATTCCTGATTCCAGACCACTAAGACATAGCATGTTGTTGCCAGCCAACTTCGATTTTTTTCATTTAGACAAAAAATTTCTTGTTTTTAAGTAACACGAATGTAAACAATGATAGGCCTAAAAGATACAGCACACATAAATAGTGGGTGTCAAACTTGAGTAGAATATTCTATTTTTAAATCTGGAAAGGTAGTGTTAGTGAATGTAGGACTTCTTCTTGGCAGTTTGTGTTGATATATTTACTGATGAGCTCATTGGTTGAGTGGTTAACTTGGTTAAGACATTAACACTAGTAAGTAGGAAGTCATGGGTTCAAATCCAACCCAGGTAAGCTTGCAGTTTCCGTAACACTTAGACTACACTGAGAATATATGTCAGAGCAAAACTTTGCAGAAACAACCAAAGGAATTTGAAAAGATGGCAAGAGTGTAAAACAATTGACCCAAATACATACCTGTATGCATTAAGTTCAGTCGAAATATTAATATCATTGAAATATATAGTCAAGTTGGAATATACACCATCACCAAAAGAGATGACTATGGTTAAAGTGAAAAACGGGTCGAGGGTGTTTTTCCCTTTAGTTTTTTCCCTGAATGATGGATGCCAAGAGTGTTAATTCCTTCATTTCTTTCAGGCTGGATCCGATCTAAAATGTCTGGGAGATGATGTTCATTGCCAACAGATCTACATGACCTTGTCACTCAAGAGCGAAGTGAACGAAATGGCAAGGTTTCAGGTTATCACAGAAAACATCAACATCAAAAAGTCGCAGGAGTTTGATAAACTAGCTGGTGGGTAGCGTAATTGTTGACTGATGTTATCTGAAACTCCATATACGTACACACATGTACATGTAGATACACCTGTGGACCATTTCATGTGTGGGCCTGCTGCTCTGCCATCTTGTATTAATTTCTTATTGTTTTGTTGTGACATCATGATATCAGGTATTATAGACAAACAATGATCATTGCTGTCATGTGTCAGATACGCGGACATGTACGTGGAGATGTTCATGTGTGTCCACATACATGTACGTGTATGCACGTCATGCTTCTGCTAGTGCTTACCCTCAAAATTCAGCAAAGATGGCATCGTGGGAGTATTTTAGAAACACTTAAAACATCCTTTCTTTCATTCCAACTTATTTCAGAGGAGTGTTTAACCCACAAGAATTTTGCATGGCAAAAGCAGTGGCTAAGAATGTATAGTACCCAGACTCTACTCTAGTGTGCACGTTGCAAAAACTACTCTGAGGCAAAGCTGTGGAAGTTTAAAGTGAATAGTGATGAAACTACACAATAGAACATGTACAAATATTGTTTGAATGACTCCCTTGAATCTTAAGACATTTCAGCATACCCGTAAACTTTGGTTAGATACCTCATCCTTTTTTTTTAAACCTTTTTAGCCAAAAATAATCCAAAAATGTTCTAGGGGTTGTTCCTTGTGAAATAAGCCCAGCTTAAAATGGTTCATTTTCTGTTGAACATATTGAAGTGTGAAGTAATCTTGTATGGTTTCAATTGTACATGAACACACCATGGACTTTAGACCAAGTCTGTGCTTATTCTAGCTTAATTCAACCCCTTAATTGTTTGCTTAACCCTAACCCTTTGCAAATATTGAGCTAGTAGAACTGTGCCAGATTCCAACACTGAGTGCACTGGCTCCTGAAAGCAACATTTACAGCTAGTCTTCAAAACCAAAACAAGCTCTCTGTTTGTTTATTTGGTTCAAATATGGAACAGCATTCACAAGCTAGCCCTGACCGCCTAGGCCCTTTTGGCTCGGATATACCCTCAAAATCCTCCTGTTTTGCTACCCAAATATTGCATGCACCCTCAATCCTCCAAAATCCTCCAATATTCAATACGTGTACTTGTGCCGTACTGTATATGGCAAATGCACACTATGTAACATACAAGAGAATGTACCAACGTGACATGTACAACCCAGCAACTCTATTCAGCAACCAGTACATATCAATCCTCCAAAATCATCCACAATCTGGTGGGCCATTCAACCTCAATCCTCCAAAATCTTCCAATATTTTCACACTACATGCAACCTCAATCCCCCAAAATCCTCCAAAGGCACATAGCTTTGAAGGACTGAGAATGGTTAGGGCTAGCTAGAGATGATATCACAGGTTTAGCAGGGCTGGGGTTTATTCAGAATAAACATTAATGGAGTAGAGAGACAGTCCTTGAAGTTGATTTCCTCTATTTTTGATCCCAAACAACTTTTGTCTTGTCTTTATCTCTGGATCACTTACGGATAAGATACAAGTTATTCAGCTACACATGTATTCTGACTTGTTGGTTGTATTGTAAAGATAGGTGTACCTGAAACAAAAAGTGGGTTAAATTTCTTAATTTAATTGCCTTAATTATCCATAGACCATTTTTCTGCAATGAGTTTCTTGGCTAGTAATTTTGAGGGTCAAGGAAAGTGGAGATTTTTTGTCGTTGGTTTTGTCTGAACGTTGTAAGCAACTATCACCAAAGCTAAACCGTAGTCAATTGCATTCATGGTATTGTATCTTCCATAAAGCTTGAGAGCTATTTCTTCCCACCTCTACAGTAAACAAACTTCCTTGTCTTGTGGACCCTGTTGGAGATCGAGTTATCTCCGACGTACAAACCATTGTAGACTACCTGGAACAGGTCTTCAAGGAACCTTGCCTCATACCGAAGAAGACAAGTTTGACACAAGTTGGAATTGATCTCTACAGGAAGTTTACAGGGTGAGTATAGACTGTTGTCAGCAATTGGTGGTGTGGTGCTTGGAGCAAGAGATTGTCAGATAATTCACAATTAAAAATTCATCCAGTATTCAAGTAATATACTTGTCATACTTATTTCAAGAGATTCCAATCTGGAATGTTGTCCTAGAGAATCTTTGAGTCAATATCTGACAGCGTAGTTTCCGGTTGTGCCTGCAGCTGTTACCTTCTAAATGCATTGATTTGTTTTGCATTCATTTCAGTGATGCCTGTGTTTTCTATTTTCCTGCAGGTACTTGAAAAACACCAATCCCAACAGAGAGGCAGAGATGAAGAATGCCCTGGACAGAGAATTGGAAAAGTTGAACAAAGCACTGAAGGAGAGTGGTCATAGATTCTTAGACGGAGACAAGCTAACGCAACCTGACCTTCGTATTCTACCCAAACTTCACCATGTTGTAGTGGCTGGCAAAATGTTCAAGGTAAATCATGTCCAGTCAGTGGAAGGATTACAGCTTAATGCCACACAGGCAACTTTGAAAAAAAATCAGCTTGTAAAAATTTGGATTCTTAGTTTCAGGTTTTAGTATCATCAGTTTTATTTCCTTCACAAAGTTTGAGGTTACCCAGTTTTGTTTATGTTGGACTGAAAAGCTCACAATGAGTAACATCCATGTGTAGGTTGGCCAATTGTGTAAACATTCTCCTGGAAGTATTTATTTTTTGGATAAACCTCTCCGTGTGTTTTAGAAAGAAAAGGATTGCTTTATTTATTTTTCCTTTCAGTTGCACTATTTTCTCACTTGTTCTTGAAGCAAAGTCCTCTTTCTTATGATCGCTTAAATGCTACTAACCCTAACAGCCCGAATACTACAAAGTACTTCTAGGTTCTGCTTAGTTGTAAAATGTAGTATTCAGTACTGTCGCTTGTAAGAGGACATGACCTTATTATTCTCTGAAACCAATAAATTCAGTAGATAAGACAATGAACCATACAGTGCTGTTGCACTATGAATGCATGACTTTATTTTTCTCTGTACGAGTTCAATGGAAGTAACCTAGCCAGAAGTAGTAATCTGTAGCGCTAGGTCCTTCAGGCTCAGACTATTACTTAGTATTTTATAGTACTGACTACTGCAAGCCAAATTTTACGGAAAACTGTTAGGGTTGAAAACTTTGCTTTAAACAAATGTTGTCTGTCTGTCTCTGCAGGGTTATGAAATCCCAGATGAAGATAAATACGGCCGATTGAAGGAGTATCTAGAGAACTGGAAACAGGAACCAGTCTATCAAGAGACCAAGTATTCAGACGCTGACTTGGAGTACGGTTGGTTTAAGACGAGGGGTTTGGATCGCATGTACCTGAAAATCAAGGGAGGCTACAGACTCAAATAAATTCCAGGCAAGCCCTTCTCCCTTCTCGTCTTCTGTCCAAGTAAATTATCTGTAACCAGCTCCATCCAAAATCAGAAAGAAAGTTTTCAAAGTGCACCTGTTGAACTATGGGGATGTTATTGAGTTTGGATTGCTGGTACAAAAGTTAATGATAATTCTTGAAGCTCAAGGGGAAAATACCTCACTTGAGATTAGAATCTAATGGTTTAAGCATTCTATGAATTCATTGAAGATTTTGATCCTCCAAAGTAGTTAATTTTGTATTTGGTTGAAACTGGATTTGTATGGCAACTGTAAATTCATTTTGGCTGCATTAATAACTTGGGTTGATTCAGTGATAACCAGCATTGGGCAAAATTGGTTTGGATTTGGTTGTTCAAGCAGGAACATAAAGAGACTTAGATTCTGTAGGATTCAGGATGCTCGTAGAAAATATGGACACGATGTGGGCTAATTTTCGTGGAAGAGGAGTAAAGTCACCAGAAAATCGTCACAATGTTCAGGAACAAAGTTTCATCTGTTAGAAAAACATTTTGTGGTTTTTTTTGTGGCTTGCCCCAATACAACTTTCCTACATCAAAAAGAAGACATTGTTTTAGTGAAGAAATGTGTCACATTTTGCTGATATGGAAGAGGTTTTGAGACATGGTCTTGTGAAGCTGTCTCATTCTAGTAAGGACAACAACAGATAGAGGTTTTTCACGTGACGTAACATGATGGGCAAATGCATATCAGAAAGCGTACCATGTCCTTGGAGGCGAGTGCATTTTGGAATCTGTGTATTTCTGTACAATTTCTTGTACACCAGAATGCTGGGAGACTTGGGAGGAGTGTGCATTTCCACACACATCTCTGTAAATTGAATGCCGACTGAATGCCGATGAATTGAATCATGTGACTCCTCAATTAAGGTGTTTCCCCTGGTCCTGATTTTTTAAAGAGCTGGTTGCATTCTCTGTGTATTTTTTTGTCAGTGGGATGATGATGTACATTGTAAATTACCTTTTAAAATTTTCAAATTTTATTACAAAGAAACATTGTATTGATTTTGTTTGAATTCAAGGCCTGTCATTAAAAAAAGTTTTTTTTTTGGTTTAGGTCTGTTATTTTACCTCCCATGAACTACAACCTCAGTGTTGGTGGTTAACTACATTTAAAAAGTAAACTTGTTGAAGACTAAATTCAATTTAAAACCTGTGGTACTTGGTTAAAAGTGAATCCTTCTAAATTGTCAAAAAATCACACTGTCCCATCTTTCTCTCTTTTCCAACTTGAAATTGTACCAGATTTGTCCCTGAAATAATCAGTGTTTATTATCCAATTTGTTTGAAGCTTACTTTCTTAAAACAATGTCAAATTTTAAGGGACGTAATTTAAAATCCAAATAAATAACAGCTCAAAGGTTTACCTTCATGAAAACCATCAAAATCCTCTTCCTTTCAAAAGGTCTGGTGTCCTACCGTTTTGTTTCTGACCAAACAATTTCTAATTTTTCATTGATTTTTGCTGTTGTAATTTGAGCAGCATACTGCAATTCGTTGGACCAAAATACACGTATACAAATTGTACACCTAAAAAAGGGGGAAACATCCACTGTGTACGCACTTTCTTTTCACTTGACTTGCCCAGTCTACTTATTAGTTTGTTTGATCTGCAAGTTCTTAGTGCATTCATTCACCATTGGTGCTTTTTTTTCGTGACATTTTGTACGTACATGTTTTGGCTTTGACTTTAGTGGAGGACTTTGATTCAGTGTCTCAAACACCTGAGCGTGTTACACGACATTGCAAGTTGCAAGTAATTATAGACATGTAGGATAGGAACTAGGTGAGAAGCCGTAGGGATATTGGCTTATCTGCTTTGGGACAAGTCGCTAGGATCAGGTGTCGTTAGAGTATTGGACCCTACTACTACATACGATGCTTTTGAGTAACACAGGTGTGCTGTGTGCATAGGTCTTCAATCTTTGTTTCTACTAACTGACCCACAAAGACATATTTTGTATCAATACTTTCATAGTCGCCAGTTTCTGAACAGTTTTAGTGGGTAAAATATTAACCAGCTTCTATCACAGATACAGATGAGTTTATTTGAGAGTGGACATAAGGTCCTACTCAGCCTAAAATATATCTCGTGATATGTCAAACGTTGTAAGCTATTGGTGCAGAATGGTGGAGATTTATACCGTCTATAGTAGTATGCCATTATGAGAAAGACGACTGTATATGGATAAGACCATTCAGATTTTGTCCATCTCGGCAAGAAATGAGACAGGATGTTGTCAGGCAATGGAAAACCTGAATTAGCCCGTTCAGATGGATTAAAGTTTATACGAAACATCTCATTGCGGTTAGGAGGATATTTTTAGAAGGAAAAAATGGGAGGCTATTCACCAATAGCTTACAACGTTTGACATATCGCGAGATATGTCTTAGGCCGAGTAGGACCTTATGTCCACTCTCAAATAAACTTTCATATTAACCAATTTTTGAACACTTCAAGCTTTAGTGGGAAAAATATTAACCAGCTTCTATCACAGATACAGACGAGGATACAGATGAGTTGCTAGAGCTGTCCAAGAGAAAAACAAGCAAAAATGACCTACCAAGCTATACACATTCAGTCTGTACATGTAATCTACATGTACCTAATCTACAGATTGAGGTTTCAAGTATAAAGATCCCCAATATTTTTGGTGAAAACTACAAGTCAGTCACCAGTGACTTCATTCTTTAATTGTGCCTTTCTCACTTTGAGATGGCTTTGCACAGATTTCACAGTGAGGCATAAAGCTTTGGCACATGTACATTTTTTTGTTTGTTTGGTGTGATTTTTAGCTTCTGTTGCTGCCTTAGATTTTGTCAATTATTACTTTACGTCCAATTAATCTAGCAAGGGGTAATTAGTATTCGTCAGTAATTTTGACATCAGAAAAGTACATATAGTTAGTTTAGTATGGCAAAAGCTTTGTCTATTAAAATTATGCTGAGTATTCTAATCAAAAAAGGATTTTTTTTAATAAAATGCATGCCAAACATAAAATTATTAATCTTAACTAAAATCCAACAAATGGTTTATGCAATATTGACGGAGATAGGTACAATGTACACTTCCTTGATACAGACACTGGAATGTGGTTTTGAGGTGCAAAGAATGTACCAATGATTTACTGATTGTCTGATCTTGATGGATATTGGAAGCTGCCGTGCGTGGCCAGAAAAGATAAGAGGGTAACTACTAACTAGTCTTCTAAAGTCACCTGACAAAGTTGATACTAGGTCATATAGAGACATGTACTTGTTCATGGGTGTGCCCTCAGATACACAAATACTCCTCGCTTTTCCCCTAACTTCCTTTTTGCTTTGAGTGGAAATACTGACTTTTCTTCTGGAACTGGTTTTCCAAGGTATTTTGCTGGCATACATGTACATGTATGAAAGCAAACCAGTCTCCTGGCCATCTTAGTCTTGTTCCATTGCAATTTGCCAGTCTGGCCAGAGTCAAATTATGTGCCATTTGGGGAATTTGTTTTTCTTGATATTTAATTCTTATGGCACATTTGTTTGTAGTTTCTTCATCGCCTCTCCATTTTTCACGCACAGTGAAACCTTCACAGTAAAATACAGCCTCTATTTTGAACTAACGACCTGTCCAGTTCTCCCCACTGTATGATTTATTCTTTATATCCATGTATGTGTATGGTCCAGTGCAGCAAGTGCATTGTAAGTGTTTTGTGGTATGAATGAAGGTGCAAATGCATACTTAATTGATTGCATTTTTCAACAGAGAGTCTGACCTTTAAGTATAGAGGGTTAAATATAAAAACTGCCATTCATCCTGAGCTGACTACGCGCATTTACTAATAAGAAAGCCTTTCTCTTCAGCAACAAATGAACCTAGAATTGTACTTTCAACAAGGAAGTAGTCCAGTTGTGTTTTACAAGGGAACAAGTTTCGTTGAACACTTCATATGAAAACCAACTTTATTTGATAGATGGTAAATTTATTAAATGTGTAATAAAATTTTAGACATTGAAAATACATCTGTAGTGTAATGCATGATACAGTAATATGATGCCTAGGTTAATTGGTTACTTCCGGTGTTGCACCCATGCACGGAATCATTTCAAGCTTCAACTTGGAAAAATATGGCAAGTATTTTACGGTCTTGTGACCTAACCATTTTTCCTTTTGAATTGTTGAAATTATTTCACTTCTGACAGATGACCATGAAGGTAAAAACAATTAACTTTCAGCTTGTATAAAAACTCAAAAGGTTTTCTTAAAAGTAGTTCCTAAAAAGGATCTTCCAAATTATTCGCTTTATACCATTTTTCGTTTTTGATTTGATGTCCAAAGTAACTTTACAATATATATTTTCTCTGTCTTTGGCTTTCACAAGTTCTGTGTGTAGCTTGACACAATGTGTGGGCGGTTTGTAATGGAAACTTCATGGTGAGAATGGTGTTGCTGGGTTGGAAGGCCATTGTACCTAAATGAATATCAGCCTTGAAGAAGGGCCCTGCACATGACATACTTTTGTTGAATTGTTAGTTTTTATCAGATAATGGATTATATCTACAGCCCTGTCCAAGTGCATTTTCTGTTGAGTTTTTTTCTTTTTCCAGCACATTTTCCTATTGGTAAGCCAGATAGAACATTTAATGAATCCTTTTTCGTATTTTGCAAACATGACTTCCCTGTAGTTAACCGGCTTCTTCTAGTGGACACCATGACTACCCTCAGCAGCATTTCATTTGCTTTTTTTGTGATTTCAATTTTCTCTCAACTTCTCTCGTTTTTGATTCATTTGAGTTGTTTTAGGCAGAGCCTAGTGTAACACAGCAAAGTACGCAAGGACATGTAATTTTGTGTTTCAGCTACTTTTGATTTGTTCTACAAATTACAACCCACCCTATTTGTTTTTGTCCTCGTTATCGCTGTGCTGATGATCAGAAAGTTTTAAATAAACACATTTTGTTATTGGCCTGCACTGTAATGTATGTAGTCAAGAAATAACACTGACAAATTGGTCAATTAATTTCCTACAAACCACTGTACTTGTGATTTTTTTGTGATTAGTGTCTTTTGAAACATTCATTTATTTCCATGAGGTAGGTTACCTCTTTTAAACACTTGTACCAAAATAAGGAAGCAGTGCTACTGTTGACTGTTCATACGAAAGAAACAATACAGTAAGTTCTCTAAATAAACATAACCAAAGATACAGTTCCCTGGACAAACACTGATTGCATTTTCTATCCTGACGTTAAGCTGTATAGTTCCTCTTGCTAGTAATCATTTGCTTGTGTACTCAGTGTTTAAAGAGGAAAATCAGTCAACATTTATGGGGAAGCGTTCAGGGTGCCTCTGCACTTTGCATTGAATTAAAATTTGTCATTGGTCCGTAGGAGTATCAGAAAACTGCAAAAACTAGCAAGATGGTTTGTCAGTTTTATGACATGGTTTGCTTTCCAAGGAATCTGATGACTATAGTATTTCATAGTAATGAACACAGGCAGGCAGGTGTAATCAAGTTATGTACGTGTTGTACATGTACATGTATGTTATTGACAATTACACTTGCAGAATTCTGGAGAGACTAGCTGGGTCATGCGCTGCTTGCAATCTGCGGATTATACCGAATTGGTCATACAGTGTGAATCCAAGGATTGGTTATCATTCACCAGAATGAATTTTCATGAAATATTCTTGAACATAATAGTCTTTACCAACCACGAAGGTGATTTGTGTATCATTTGTATTGGTTTATTGCATAGAATTTCAAAAATGTGTGAAATGATGCCTCGTCCTGCAAAATCCAGAAAAGATATTTATAAAGGGTCATGTTAAATCAATAATATACACATTCATTTTGAGTGAGGTTTCCTCTTTTGTACAAGACGAGCTGGGTATAAAATGATACTAGAAATTAATTTTCAGTTTTCGAAGTCAAATCCCTGAAACTGCTTTTAGATGGCTCAGAATGCATTCCAAGGTCTAACAAACATGTTAATGCAATTGTGCCCATATAGTTGGAGAGTAAAGCAAGTTTCAAGCAAATTCATTACTCGAAATTTTTGGATCCAAAATTATGCAAACAGCAA